GAGCCTGGCGGGTCGCTCTGGTTAGTTTGCCAAGGCCAAGAACATCATTTTATTTACATTTATGCATAGTAAAACTACTGTACAATACCATCACAACTAAACTATCTTACCCACTACCTTTAAACATAACTTGTGTTGGTGCCCACATAAAAGTGGCCTTTTTTGCCCACCACACCTTGACACGGGGGTGGGTGAGAGACATTCTCAGCTTGCACTGGGCAGCATTATGTCATCTTCATCTGTTGCTGAAGATCTGAAGAAGCTCCAGCATCAGGGAGATAGTCAGCCTAGACACATCTTGGGCAAAGGACTTGTATCTCTGTATGCCCAAAAAACGCATAAAAATATTGTTACTTCCAAACCACTTGCCTTGCGCTGCCACGACAAATCCAAAGAACAAGGGTTCGGTTACATCTGTCAGGTCTTCGATTTCTCTTCTCAAGTGTTCGTACTACTTGGTCATCTCTGCCCCTTAGTCATCTTTGAAGTGAACCATCACATCCACCACGGCAATTCTTCAATCCTTCTTGAAGATGAGATCGTATTTCCAAAGGTTTCCATCGTTGTCCTAGATCCAAGGTTCCACATAGGTTGCCCATCCATATCTGCTGATAAACTGGTGGAGCTTCTCTGCAATCTTTGGCACTTGATTCTGGCATTCTTCATGAAGGGACAAATTCTGGAAATGTCGCATCTCCAGCAATCCTTTGATAAGTATGGTCTGCCTCTAGTAAGCGTTGTTCAGGTTGGATAAAGGTTGCAGCTTGGCAGAAGACTGATGAACCTTGATAATTTTGTATGAAATGATGTCTTTGTCCATGAGTTGGACACAATATCATTCTTATGATACTGTATACCGACTTGACTTTTCGGGTTAGACCACTTTTCTAGGTCCCAGTCACACCAAGCCATGTAGTCAATAGTGTCTGACTGCATGTTGTTGGATTGGTGGATCCAGGGTTGTCTCCAATTCTGCCAATGAGTTCTTGTGAGCTTTCATCCTGAGTTGATAGCTTTCGACTTCCTTGAGGACTTTAAGATTTCTCAGTCCTTCAGTATGTCTGATGTTGTCTTCCTGGAAAGAGGCCCAGATCACTAGGCACTTAGATCATTCACGTGACTGTCTTTTGCAGATTATGGCAGCCAGAATTTGGACCTCTAACTTGGGCATGCCCAATCCTCCATCTCTGTTTCTGGTGTGGAGTAGTCCGTCTGTGGTGTGAAGTGGGAGATGTAGGATCTCCCTGACTGAAATCCTTATAATGGCATCAAGTTTCTGGATTGTGTTCTGTGAGGCTTCTTTGAGGATTAAGTGGTGGTACAATCTTGGAATCATATGCGTCCTCATGAGTTCCAGTTTCTATATGGGCAGAGACCAGTGTCCTGAAGCTTAGAAATCCACGTCTTCAGTTTCTCTCCCCACTCTCTCTCCGGGACATGCGCCCATGATTGACACGGGCTTCCAGGTATTTCTCAGTGTCGCCTGGGGAATGTAGGCAATGGTGTTTTCTTTCAGGGCCCTGTTTCTTTTGTGATTATAAATAAAGGTCTTCTCTTTATAAGTAAAATGGAATCCTTTCATCTTTGAGATTTTAGTAGTTAGACTGGTATTCTCACAAAATGATTGGATGAATTTCAGGTGCTTTACCATTCCGGTGTGGGAGTCGCTCAACAATGTGATATCGTCAGCAAAAGCCATGGCAGAACAGTTGATCTTCCTTCCGTCAAGTTGCATGGACACTCCGGTGCTGGCATCCTCAAGAGTGCACATTAATGGATCCAATGCTATGTTGAACAAAATTGGTGATCTCCCTGCTTATAGAGTTGGTTCTGCAGCCAATACCTTCAATTATCATTGAGTTGTTTTTGTACATATCCTCAATAAGCTGAATGAATTCCTTTGGCAAGCAAGCTCATTGCGGGTCTTTCAATAAATGTGTATGTCCAATCGAATCGATTGCCTTAGCCAAGTCAATAAAGACAATTGCGAGGTCCTTCCTGTTTCTCTTGGTGCCTCTGATGATGTTAGCCAGGACTGCAATGTTCTTGTGGCATCCTGGTGTTGCTGCCAAGTACCCTTTCTAACCCTGTCTAGGGTTAAGTTGGACTATCTCATTCAGTCGCTTTGCCATGACTTTAGTGAAAAGGCGAAGAAACATGAGCCCGATTGTAATAAGACCTCCAGCTGTCTATGTCACCCAGCATCTTTGGGTTTTCAGTCTTCGCTATCAACATGGTCCAATTCCTCTTCAGCGGCTCCAGGATCATGCATGTCCTCATCCAAAGGGTGAAGAGTCTTGGCGTCCTTGAGGTGTCTCCATCGAGGATCTTCTGGATGTCTTCCACCTTCATGCTGTTGGGTCCTGCAGCACTCCTGCGGTTGATTCCTGTGATGGCTGCACCGAATTCCTCCTCCTCAATGGGTCACATGAGCAATCCGTCATCCTTGCTGCCAGTGTATGGTTTGAATTTATCGATATTTGCCTTGTTGTTCATGGTTGAGAGTTTAGTGACAAAGTTGTCTTTCAGTCCTTCCTTGGAAAGTGGACATGATCTGTCTGGCTAGCTGTCTCCTGTCTTGAGAAGTAGAGAAGTTGATTGGTCTGGAACTTTGCCTTCCTCGCTGCCTAATGCCTTCTGGCACCGGAGTTCTTCCGAAATTCTCTTCTTTTTCTCCTTCACTCCAACCTTTGCCGTCAACTTCCTTTTCTGGTCTTCTTTCCATCTGTCTTCTGTCCTTGGAGAGTTTCTTCTCCATTGACGAGGAGGTCTGTGATACATTCTATTAGTCCCAGACCCAGGGCTCTAACCTCGGGGTCACCCTTATTTTTCAGAAGTTCTTCTGCTTGCATAAGCTGATTATCTATTTCTCAAAGTTTTGGAGTGCAGGCTGGTGGTCTGATAACTCTTTTTTTGTTAATGGACACCTGGGGATTCATGTCCACTGTCTTCTGTAAGGGGGACCACTGGAGGTTCAGACACTGGAGCTTGAGATCCCACATCAATGTTTTGCACCATCCTTCTCATATCAGAGATCTGTTTGGGTGTCTTAGTCTTAAGGATACTAGTTATCTTCTTGTTGATGAAAGTACAGCCCACGTACTGCTTTTCCAACTCACGGAGAAGTTTGATTTTTTCTTCCATCCATTTGTATGTCTTCCAACCCGGCTTGGATGTGTTCTTCAGGACCTCCAGACATTTCTTGTTGTGATGTTTGGCATGTTTGTGTCTTTCATGTTGGCCAAGGCCAATCTTCAAAGTGAATTTCAGTTTACATCTAGAGCTTGCGAAGCCTCCTGGCAGACTTGGACTGTTGGTGCCCTACATTTTGTGTTAAGGCACGCTATAGTGTGGTATTCCTCGCTCTTATCTCACATGGAGCATTTAGTGCAAAAGTTCTTGAACTGGTGTGACTTGGTCAGGTGCTCCCTGAAGGTCCCCAAAGTAGGATAGAGAGAATTGCAGGCTGTACAAAACAGACCATCCGTGGGATAGTGTATCACGACCTCCTGGGTGGTTGTTCTGTCAAACGAGGGCTCGATGATGATTGGTATGAATGTAGTTCACTAGTTCAGATGTTCTGCGCCCTACTGCTCATGTGCTTCTTTCTCCCGACTGTCGTATCTTCTGTTATAGAATGTTTGTGCTGTGATTGTCTGTTCCGTGGGATAGGTTGCCCACACGTCCTCTTTCATAACAGGGTTCTCGGCTTCTACGTCGGGTCTTGGTCTTCCAAACCTGACTGGACCTTGACTCGCGTAGACTATCAGTATGCGTACATCGAGTCATACCGTCATCCCCTCCATCTGTGTAGAGATGGATTCTCTGTTTGTGTGGCATCAGCACTTGTCATAAGTCACTACCACCAATGAACCTGCAAGAAGGTTTTTCTTCCAGGATGCATCCCAACCGACTGATGGAAGTCTTTCACTGGCTCCATATTTTGTCACTTTTTTTTTTGTTTGTGATACTCACTAAGTAGTATCGTGATCCATGCAGATCCAACAGCCGTCTCTCAATTTTTCTCAGTCACAATTAGCCAGCAATAGCTGACTGGGGAGCCAATGCTGTTACCAGCAGGAACCTTGAGGAGGAACCTTGTTCACTGCAGCAGACAAAATTGCGTCAAAACTACCGCAGCGGTAACTATTCAGGCATGACTCCCATGGGAGAACTGGCCACCAAGAGTCTTAGTAACTACTGCCACTAAACTATATTTCCTTAATTCCCACACATACACACATTTCTATACAGACAAGACACAGCTTTGCAGAGGTATAATGGATTTGAAAAAAAACTGGTAAAAAGAAAACAAGGTCAGGGGTTCAAATTCAGAAGACAGAATGGATTGACTTCTTATAGTTCCTGTAATTTCTTGTCAACAAGATTCAATCGTTGACCATGACAAAATGATGAAAGATCTTCAGTTCAGATTCAGATGGGAACTGTTAAGCATCCTGATAATTGAAAGGTTATCAGGCTTTTCAAACCTTTTCACTAAGAGAAGAAAAAGCTTTTTAATCAGCTTTATTTTAAGGACTTTTCTCTCACTGATGGAGAGAGAGAGTGGGAGATAGCATTGTCTTTACTAACAGTCCTGTCCACAATTGCCACAATTATGAACATACTGAAAAGTCTTCTTTTGTTTAGAGGCTGGTTGCTTGGCAACCTGCAGCACAGAGCAAAGAGTTGTTCCAAGTCTGTTTGTCCAAATAGTAAGCCATAAAATCTATCTCTTATCTCTTCTTAAAGGGGTTGGATTTTCTTCTTTTCGAAAATTATTTTCTTTTGCAATAAACATCAAATAATTAACAGTCTTCCTTGACTATCGACTTCTGTAAACAATAGGTAAACCATCTACTTTTTGACCTTTTAACTTGTTATTTCCAATAACTCACATGACAATTGCTCCTCAACCCAGTATTGTCCAAACAGTCCATATTTTGATTCACATAATCCACGAATATGTTTATAACTTTCAAATATTTGTTTTACTGCAGCATATTGTACGCTGACATTGTGGGTTTTACACGCCTGGCTAGCGAATGTTCACCTGGAGAGCTTGTGCACACACTCAATGAGTTATTTGGCAAATTTGATCAAATTGCAAAGGTAAGCAGCTTTACTGACAAACAGGGTGATACTGTGAAATTTTAGTGCTTAAGCATTATATGCATTATCTTGCATTTGTAATAACAATTGATTTTTACCCTTGATTTTATTCAGGAAAATGATTGTATGAGGATCAAGATTTTAGGTGACTGCTACTACTGCGTTTCTGGTTTACCAATATCTCTGCCAAACCATGCCAAAAACTGTGTTAAAATGGGGTTGGACATGTGCGAAGCCATAAAGTAAGTTAAATTTTCAAGTTCTTCTAGTTTTATAAATGGAATTAAATCCAAGTTTGTTCTCCAGCAGTAGTTTTACTACTGGAAGTATATATGGATCACTAATGTTAATCTTTGTTACAAATTGTAAGCTTGAATTCATGCTGAATGTTGATAGGAGGTATGTCATAGAGCCATAAAGAGTCATAGAGTCATACAGCATGGAGACAGACACTGACCAGGTTTCCTAAACTGAATTAGACCCATTTGCCTGCATTTGGCCTATATCACTCTAAACTTTCCTATTCATGTACTTATCCAAATGCCTTTTAAATGTTATAATTGTACGAGCCTCTACCTCTTCCTCTGGCAGCTCGTTCTATATACACACCAACCGCTGTGTGAAAAAGTTACCCCTCAGGTGCCTTTTAAGTCTTTCCTCTCTCATCTTGAAACTTTGCCCTCTAGTTTTAGACTCCCTACCTTGGGGGAAAGACCTTGGCTAGTCACCTTATCTATGCCCCTCATGATTTTATAAACCTCTATAAGGCCACCTTTAGTCTCCTGTGATGCCACTTTCAAGGAACTATGTACCTGCACTCCTTGGTCTCCCTGTCTGACCACACTCCCCAGTGCCCGACCATGAAGTGTGTAAGTCCTGCCCTGGTTTGTCTTACCAAAATGTAGAATCCCACATTTATCTGAATTAAACTCCATTTGCCATTCTTCAGCCCACTGGCCCAGTTGATCAAGATCCTATTGTAGTCTTAGATAACCTTCTGCACTGTCCACTATCCCACCAATTGTGGTGTCATCCACAACATATTAACCATACCTCCTATATTCTCATTCAAATCGTTTATGTAAATGATGAACAACAGTGGACCCACTACTGATCCTTGTGGCACACCGCTGGTCATGGGCCAGTCTAAACAACAGCCCTCTATACTACCGCCCTCTGTCTCCTACCGTCAAGCCAATTTTGTATCCAATTGGCTAGCACTCTGTGGATTCTATGCAATCTAACCTGACTAACGAGTCTATCATGCGGAACCTTGTTGAAGGCCTTCTTTAGCCCATGTAGACAACGTCTACCACTCTGCCTTCATCTGTCTTCTTGGTCACCTCTTCAAAAATCTCAATCAAATTTATGAATATGTACTTCTGTTTCGAAGGCTTCTTCCTTAAAACTCTATACTTTACATAGTAGATATCGATAGAAGTTATTGAATAAATGAGCTGAGAAATATACATTAAATTAGAATGAATTTTAGCAATGATGGAATGATACAAACCATTGGAACATCTTCAACATCTTCATAAAGCAATGGATTGGAAGTTTGATTTCCCCACATTGATAAACTGACAAACCCAGCTTTGTTTCACCGTGGTTTGGTAGTGGTTAGGATGGAAATATTGAATGAAGACCAGATACTTGCTTTAAGAAACAAAATTTAAAGCAGTATCCATCTTATATTGACCAATTAACAGTGATAATAGTAGTGGCTTACATCACATAAATTAAATGTTTGAAGATAACTCTAAATTCAGAAAGATAGTACACAATGAGAAGGACAGTATCAGACTTCTGGAGAACTTTGCCAAACTGATGAAACGGATGAGTCAGGATAGATGTAATGAAATGCTGAGAAACATGAAGTGATACATTTTGGAGGGAATAATGTGCAAGACAACATAAACTGAATTGTACAATTTTAAAGGGGTGCAAATCTCAAGATACTTAGAGATGCACATATACAAAACAGAACTAGTTGAGAAGACTCATGAGATGCTTACAAGATCCTTGACTTCTTAATTGAGGTATAAAATACAAAAGCAAGGATGTTATGCTAGCTCTTCAGAGAACACAGGTTGGATCTTAGTACGCATTAGGAAAGAAGCTATGTCTTTAGAGAGATGCAGAAGAGATTAACAAATATACTATTAGGGCCACAGAACTTTATTTAGATGGAGAGATTGGAAAGATCAGGTCTGTTTTTCCTACAGCAGAGGAGATTAAAAGATTGGATAATGGTATACAAAATCATGAATGGGCTTTGATCAGGTAAGTATTTTCTTTAGCAAAAGAGTCAGTAACCAATGACACTTGTAAATGTTAATGTTCAGTGAAATCTGGCATTACAAAACCACAAGAACTATATCATTCTCAATACCATGTATAACCTCACATTCTTTCAAACTCAGCTTTGGTATGTAGTATCTCTCCCTTTCTCACTTGGCCCTTGAGTTGTCTTCAATGGTAGTTTTCATCATGTTTCCAGATACTGTTAACAATAACAAGGCAAATGTGTATGAACCTTTCTAATGTGGTGATATCAGTCCTGAGGATGTACTTTTCCAGAATTTCTTTTCAACTGACCAATCAACAATTCCTGGAACATGAGCTGGTCCAACAATACAAACTCTCAGCTCTTTTGAATGTCTGAGCTGTTCACATCATATTTTATGTATTAAACACTGTTATCTTCTTTGGATATCCCTGCTGTTAGAGCTTCTGGAATTCTATATGCTTCTTACTACTGAACAGAAACCAATTCTTTTGAAGAAGTCTTTGCTGGTTTTCCCTCACATGAATGCTGTGTTCCTCTTCCTGCCCTGGTTTGCTTTCTCTTTTTGTCTGCATCTGTATGCTGACCTCCTGCTCCCTCAGTTCTGCTGCTTGTAATTTTTCTTGTGAATGGCCATCCTTCCAGTTGATGCTGCTTCCAGGTCAAGGGTTACCAGGTCACATAGATCAGCATTCCTTAATATCCAATAAAAGCACAAATGATCCCTTTAAAATTAATGCATCTGTTAAAAATTCCTTCCAAACATTCATAAAAACAATTACTTATTGTACTGACATTTTAAATAAGTCACAGGTTCCCCTTAAAATGTACTGCTTTCAGGTCAAAGTTCATCCACCAAACAGCAATCTGTTCCAGTCCCCAATTTGGCCAGTTCCAAGGCCTGGATCCTGACCATCCTGATCCCTGAACCTGCAACTCCTGATCCTGTAAACCTTGACCATACTGACTGCATTGAGAAAAACCAGGTTGTGGGATCATGATTTGACCATGTATTTGGAGCATAGAGGAACAGAACCATATCATTCTTTCTCATACCCTGTGCTGCCACAATTTTGATCCTTAATAACTGATCACCTGACTCTCAATCTTGCCTGCTCCTGACCCCCAGTCATTTTTGTACTTAATCTTTGATGCTGCTCACTCTTGATTTCTTTCTTTTGATTTCCCTCATTCCTGACTGTTGATCTTTCATTTCCCTGCACCTCATCTCCCAGTACAGCCCTCAGCTCCAAGCCCAAAATAACCTCCTGAATTGATCCCAGCTCCCAGCATTCAATCATCAGTCCAACACAGGCTCCAGTTCAGCACATGACCCAATTTCCAGACACCTGAAAGCAGCCTGACATTTAACTCTGATTGTGTTGCATTATAATTAGGCCTGAGATCTGATAGCAGAAGGTGTCTCAGGTATTATCATAATAGCAGGTGTGCAATGGCCAAAACTCAGGCAGATCAAACAATCAGTTTGACCGGATGGTTGCATGGTAGATTTCAATGACCACCTCTGTTTTGAAAAAGCAGAAATGTTGGCTAATTGAACAGCTGTATCATTTTTTATACAGAATGTGTAAAAGTGTGCTGACAATGTTAGCCAATGCAAAGGTGACTGTCTCATATGTAGCACAATGTTTGATACGTTAGGTGAAGAAAAAAAGTAGACTGCTTGAAGAAAGTGCTGACTATGACTGCTGCTGGCCTTTTTATCTTAATTACAAGTTCTCTTGCAGCTAATGTATAGCTGTTTGAAATGGTGCTGATTGTTCTTGGTCATTGTCAGATATGTATATCAGATCGTGTAGGTTGATGCTATAATGGAGGGGTTCAGCATGAAACTTTTCAATGGATTAGGCATGCCTTCTTTTGTCTTGGACCATTTCAATGATAAAGTAGTGCAGTTTTACCATTTTAAGAGTAACCCCAATATTAATTTTTAGATGACCTACTGCTGGCAAACATTAAATGGTTTATCACTTCCAGAGCTGGACTATTATAATGTCCCCATTTTATGTGTTTTGGTTAAAGAACACTTATAAGAGATGTTTCAAGCAAATTAGTAGAACATTTTACTGGGTACTCTGATCTCTGCAATAGAAATCCAAATATGTGTCCTATTATAACAAGCCCTCTGTTAGGAGCACTAATTAATAAAATCTGCCCTAACGTTCAAATATTTTTTGTTCTCAGGAAACATTCAGACCATTGTTATCTGTAGTAGTGATGTTGATCATGGAATAAGTGTCATAAGGATAATGGGCCACAATTTAACATTTCAAGTGAGGGTCAGCATCACTTGCTAATGTAGTGAAGTATCAACCTAGGATATGTGCTAGCTATTTTAGAGTGAGATGTGAATGCACAATCTGCTGGCGTAGAAGCAAGAGCACTATTGCTCAGTCAAGGCTGACATTGAAAGGAATGAAAGTGCTTTCTCTTACATTATCCATTAAATTGAAATATTGAAATACACAAAAACGGTCAATCTTAATAAAGAACTTGTAATATCTTGTGATGATAGTAGCATGTGATTGAAATATTTTTTGGTATGTGAAAACATTGTTGAATTATATATTTAAAAAAGGAAGGAGAAAATATACCATTTTGGAGCTTATTGTGTTATATTAGAAATTATAAAGTGAAACTTGTGAATGCTAAATTTGATTGTGCCTATTTGTCATACATTGTTGGACCAGATCTACTTCAAGGACCGAGACTCATCCAGATGTGTTCCTGGAAAATGTGATTCTGTTGTATCTCCTGTGGAGTCCTTCAGCATTTTCAGCAGTGTCATATTTGATTCCATTATTGTCGGACAGACAAACCAACTTTAGACCTTGCAGAGGTGCTGTGATTCCACAGTATGGCTGCAGTGTAAATCATGTGAGAACAATACGACGTATAATGTGTTATGCTCATTGTAATGTTCTAATAACCAGT